CTTACATGGTGGTGGTAAGCGTCGCGCTGCTGCTGCTGCTGCTGTTGCTGCTGCTGCTGCTGCTGCCGATGGCGCTGAGGCTCGAGAGCCGTCTGCTGCCTTAGCTGCTGCTGCTGCTGCTGCTGCTCCTTCCGTTGTTGCTGAAGATGTTGAAGCTGTCGCTGAAAATTTGCCCTTGTTTGTTATATTTCACCCAGAAGACCCCTGTTGCTGCCGTTGCTGCTGCTGCTGCTGCAGTTGCTCTTGCTGCTGCTGCTACAGCTGCTGCAAGGTTGTGGGAAGGGTGAGTGGGCAGTGCTGCTGAGGAACTGTTTTTGTTTTTTTATTCACTAAAAGTATTTATTTTTTATTTTATTTTAATTTAATTATAGAAAGGAAACTCTGCAGCATTCAGCAGCAGCAGGAGGGGCCCCCAGGGCCCCATACCCTGGGGGCCCTTCGATTCAGATAACTGCAAACCCTAAGCCCTAAACCCTAAACCCTAATTTTTAAGCCCTAAACCCTAAACCCTAAACCCTTCAAAATAATTGATGTGCATGCACGGAATTAGTCGAAAGTCTGTAGTCAAAGTGCCCTTAGCTCCTGTTGAGGCTGCTGCTGCAGCTGCTGCAGCTGCTGCTGCTTTGACTGCAGCAGCTGCAAACACCTGCTGGTGCTGCTGCTGCTACTGCTGCTGCAGCTGCAGGTGCCAAGAAATGGCAGAAGCAGCCACTGCTGGCTAAACACTTTTGTCGCTGCTGCTGTCGCTGCTGCTGTTGCTGCTGCCGTTGCTGCTGCTCTCACTGCTGCTGTTGTTGCTGCTGTTACTGCTGCAGTCGTTGCTGCTGCAGCTAGTCTCTATGCCTGCGGGGTGACAGGGGCCTCGAAGGTTCCGGGACCAGCTGCAGCGACTGCAGCAGCAGCAGCAGCAGCAACATGTGAACAGCTACTAGTTGAAGCAGCAGCCACAGTAACTGCAGCAGCAGCAGCTGCAAAAGAAAGAGCACTAGCAACAGCAGCAGCAGCAGCAGCAGCAAAGGGAACCATTACCTCTGTCTTGGCCTTGACTATTCTAACTGCACTGAGGGGAGACCCTGCAGCAAACAGCAGCAGCAGCAGCAACTCGAAATTCGTCCTGCAGCAGCAGCAGGAACAGTTGCAGCAGCAGCACCATTAGCAGCTGCAGCAGCAGCTCTGCAGCAGGAACAGCAGCACGTAGCCCTGCTCCGTCTCATCCCTTGCTGCTGCATCGGCAAAACTTGCAGCCGCTACCATCCGTTGCTGCTGCTGCTGCTGCTGCCGGTTTTGTTGTTGCTGCTGCTGCTTTCGTTGCTGCTGCTGCTGCCAATGCCATACCCCGCTTAAACTTCAGTGGAGAACACTTTGTGGGCGACAAAAGGGGAGGGCGCCACTCCGTGCTGCTGCCGCTGATGCTGCTGCTGCTGCTGCTGCTTCTGCTTGTGCTGCTGCTGCTGCTGCTCGTGCTGCTGCTGCTGCTGCTGCTGTTGAGGGTTTGCGGACGCAGCAGGAGCCCTGCGGCAGTCAGTGCTGCAGCACTGCTCTCAGCCCACTGGGGCTCAGGGATGCAAAGAAAGTCTGCGGCTGCTGCTGCTGCAGTTGCTGCTGCTGCTGCTGGTGTCTCGGCTCCGCCAGTACGAGGAGTAGCCGCTGCAGCAGGAGCTACTGCTGTGGCAGTTACTGCTGCGGCTGCTGCTGCTGCAGCAGCCTCGAAGTGCGGCACTCTGACCTTTAGACTGGAGACGAGCTGCTGCAGGGCAGCCTTTGGCTGCCCCGTGGTCTGCTGCTGCTGCTGCTGCTGCTGCAAAGGCAGCAGCAGCAACGGCGCGTGCAGCAGCAGTAGCAGCAGCGGCTGAGCAGCAGCAGCAGGGAGTCGCTGCAGCGGGAAGCAAAAAGTAAGTGGGAGGAAATTGCCCTCCAGGTAGTGAACAGTCAAAAACGAATTTGCTGCTGCTGCTGCTGCTGCACCTGCTGCTGCTGCTGATGCCGCTGTGGATCTGGGCGCTGCTGCTGCTGGGGCCCCTTTTGCTGCTGCTGCTGCTGCTGCTGCTACTGCTTCTGCTGGTGCGGTACCCCCTAGTGCTGCAGCTGCGACGTTTGCTGCTGCGTCTGCTGCTGCTGCTGCTGCTGTTGCTGCTTTGCTTGCTGCTGCTGCTGCTGCCACTTCTGGCAGCAGCGCATGCACAGCTGCTCCCTGAATGTAAATTTTGGTGCTCGGAGTTGGCTTTTGAAGCAGCAAGAAGATCTGCCTAAGGCAGAAGCAGCAGCAGCAGCAGCAAAAGCAGCAGCAGCAGCAGCAGAGGCAGCAGCAGAGGCAGCAGCACAGGCAGCAGCAAAAGCAGACACAGCAGCTCGAATGCAGAATTCAGAGCATGGAATTAAAAGCGAAAGGAAGCTTGTTGCCTGTTTGCTGCTGCTGTTTCTGCTGCTGCTGCTGCTGCCGCAGCTGCTGCTGCTAACCCACCTTAAAAGTGCGCTTGGAAGCAGCTGGAATTCTCCATTCATTTTCTGCACACAAAAGGCCCCAAACCCCAAACCCTAAACCCTAAACCCTAAACCCTAAACCTTAAGCCCTTAACACTACAGCCTAGGCCTTGGTGTGGGAGCACGGACTCCTGCAACTTAACCCTAAACTCTAAGCCCTAAACCCTAAACCCTAAACCCTAAACCCTAGACCCTAGACCCTCAGCCCTAATCCCTAAACCCTAAACCCTCAGCCCTTAGCCCTAAACCCTAAACACTAAACCCTAACCTTTGCCGTTGCTGTGGCTTCTTCTTCAGTAAGGCTTGCTAAGAAGCATTCGCAGCAGTTTGTCAGCAGCAGAACACAGCAAGGACTGCAACCCCTGCTGCTGCTGCTGCTGCTGGTGCTGCTGCTGCCGCTGCTGCTGCTGCTTGGAGCTTCATCCACTGATGGAGGCCCCTGCAGCAGAGCTGCCTTGACTAGAAGGGGCCCTCGCCCATCTGCAGCAACCCATACGACACATGCCACGGGTATAGCAGCAGCAGCAGCAGCAGCAGCAGCAGCAGCAGCAACAGCAGCAGCAGCAGCAGTGGCAACAACTGAGGATGCATCAGCAGCGGCAGAACTGTACCGATAAGACACCATGGAGCAGCAGC